ATTAAATATTTTTGGTTCTGATTGTAAAAAAGTCCATATCTGAATTAATTTAAAACATTACAGGAGACCTTCAAATCTGAAGGTAAAGCCCCGTTCTAGTTTGCCTGTTGAAACTGGTTTATATTTTGGAAGCCTTTCTCATATAACTAGATTGGCTGTATTGATGTGTGTTGAACAAAAAATCCACAACTTGTTACAGAAGTAAAATTCCTTAGTAAAACCATGAAAAGTAGAGAAACTGGAATATATTTCTCAGAGCAACCCAAAAAATGAAAATTGTGATTTGGTAAACTTTTCCTATTCTGACCTCTCCCTTTCATTATTCCTCATATTACCCCTCCCTTTCATTAGAATAAATACATTTTGCTGTAGAAGAGTAGTTATAGTTTTGTACCATGATTTTTTCAAATTATATCATTCGCAAATTCTAAAACAATCAGAAGAATTTTAAAACCTTAATTCAGTTGATCAATATAATCCGTAAGTTAGTAACAACTTTCATTTGGAATGCGAAACTTAATGAACTTTTGACATGTTACTTATTTCAGGCGTAACAATAAAAAAATTTGTAATTTATTTACAAATGACGCGTGACATATTTATTTTCAAGAAAGTAAAATAAAGAAATTCATTTTGGAACTTGATTGAATGTACAAATTTTGTGGAATTCTCTATAATGGTTTTTAAAATATCTCATTTGAAAGCATTTAAAAAAAGCTGCAAAAAAACAATTCGAAGTGTAACATTTATTTCAAAAAAACTGAGAGGTATAATTTACATCTGAACCAGTTCAGTATCTAATGAATAGATCAATGGTTCTCAACATATTTTCCCTCATGCGCCCCTATCACCATTGCTAGAAGATCATTCCCCTCCCCTCCCTCTTCTCCAAAACTCGGAAAATACATAGATTTACTTAGATTTATATTATATTTTAACTTGTTTTAAAAAATTAAATAACAAAAAGTACAGAAAATATTAAGAAGTACCTAAAAGTGAATAAAAGTTGTTTTTCAATATATATTCGTCAAAATAAAATAAATTTCTTTATAGCTAAATGAAAGGCTGAACGCATCCTCCTGAAGCTACGAAATCCCCCCCACAAGGGTGAATTTTCCCCTTGTGGATTTTCTATTGGTCGGAAACAAAGCACAAACTTATAATTACACAGAACACAAGAAATCATATTCTAGTTTATGAAGTTAGAAATCGCAATCTTCATGCTCCTAAAAATTTTAATTATATCCAGAAACCAAAACAGTTGAAAATTGCGCTTTAACTTATCCATAATATTCTTCGTGACATCTTGATCTTGATTTAAGGCAACATTAAAGTCTTGAAACCCGATCTCAGAAAAGAAAGTAAGGACTGTTTTAAGCATGATGAACTTTTAATAAATGGTAAAGCAAAAAGAAATGAGGAATTAAAAACATCTCCAACTAAAATCAGTTGTGAGATATTTAAGGCTTTGATGGATGTGGAGGAAAAGCCTCAAGCTGCAAATTCAGTGATAGAAAAAGTTATCTGCATTTAGTTTACTGAAACAAATCTGAGTACATCATGTGGTAAACCTTTCTGAAAAGGCTGACAAATTCGGAGAATTTCCTATAAATGCTAATATGAGGCATGTCCTATAATGACCAAAATTAGGGCCAATTAGGGCTATTGGTCAAATAATTTCCAGAAACATTATGAACAATTCAAAAAACGAACTTTTGCATAAGAATTCCAGACAACTATTTCATCCAAATCAAATGCTGTGAATGTAAGTATTTATATGTTTTCTATTGATATTTATATTTAGTTAGTTAATTCATTGATATTTCGAAAAATATTTTTAAAATCTTTTAACGTTATCAAAACAGTCACGGACAAAGTCACATTAAGCGACGCCTACCGTAAATTGAAATAAATATCGAGGCTTTGAATTCAAAAAAAAAAAAAAAGTTAAATTTTATCGATTACGTCGAGTTTGCGATTGCAGAAATTCCCGCTGTCTGCAATTTTGGTTTACGGAAGTTCAGCCGCAAATGAAAGCACACGTCGCCCATCCGAGATAGTGGTTAGTGATTCTGACTGCCGTACCGAAGGACCCGAGCTCAAATCTCGGAGAAGGCATAGATGTTCGTAAATGTATACTAGTGTCTGTGTGGCATGGAGGCACTGTAAATCTCGAGAGATCAGCGGTATGGAAAGACGAAGTATGAAACCCTCGGATCTGTGCCCCCAGGGTATTGTCTCCAAAAGAGCAGAACTGATCTAAACTCGGTCTGTTACCTGTATGGTGCTCAAGGCTTTTGCCAACGATAGGTGCATTTGACTCTTTGCCACAATGAATTTCGTGGGCTTGCTCTGATATCAGACAACGGAGATTAGTCACAACAACAACATTACGGAGGAAAATTTCTAAAACCAATATTTAAAGAAAGATTGAGATTGAGATCACCTTTACGATACTCTTTCAAGGGGAGAAAGACTTTTTGGTGTTATTTAATAGGACCTTACATGAATATAATTAATTTTCTTTGTACACGAAGGATAATATGCCCGTTTATTTAATTTATTTCATTAAATTAAGCATTATTTTCCAAAAAATAAAGACCGTTAATATATATATATATATATATATATCTTAAAAATATAAATGTGAAATACGAGGTAATTTCAAAAATATGAATGCTAGAGTAAACATCAGTACTAAAATGTCCTCCAATTTCCTTTATTCTGAAAATTTCATCAAAAGGAGGCGTATGTGGTATTCCATTAACTGCGTTGAGTTTCATGAGTTTCATCAACATTGCGGTTTCATCGTCCCTTACTTTCATTTTAACATTGCTTATTCCTTTTATCGTCAGAATAAAATAAACGTGTGAGTTTTGCTTATTGATATGTGATTTTCATAATTACTTCCGCATTCACATTTGTGAAACTTCATTATAAATATTCCATTTGTCTTCTATTTTATATTTACTTTTGTGTTTGTTTAGAATTGTCCAACCGGCCTTGGATAAGCGAAGCTCACATAATTAAACACTTCCGCCTTATATAAGCAACTGCAACTTTATGCGCGTTTATTAAAGTAGTTTATGACATTTATATTTAAGTTTTATCAACGAAATGTTATTTAATGCTTTCCTTTGTTTGCCTCTTTACGCCTCGAAATTTGCTCATTCTAGAATTTATGTAGATTTTCAGTGGCAAGCAGTTTTGTTGAACTTTACGTTATAAGGTTATATGACCTGTTTCTTCTACCCTGCCTGTCAAAAAATGGCTGTTCGCGAATTTAAAACTCTTCTGGCTGAAAATACATTAGATGATGGTTAGATAATGTTTGGTGCGACTGTGTGATGGAAATTCTGAATCATGCAGTCTTTGCCTCAATTAGATTGAAAGTGTTCAATTTGTATCTATTGCTTTGGAAAGGAAGCCTTGGGTTAAAACCAGGTCCAGATTCACTGGTAACTTTATGTTTTATTCTTATGTTGTTTGTTTATGTTGTTTATTATAATTTAAACACTTACGATTTAAGTGTTTTAATTCTGTGTCTGCTTTTTAAATGGTTAGCTATTCTGGTGGTGATAATTCACCTATCAGAACAAACCTAAAACCTTATGGTAATACACATAATAACGTTAGTTAAAACCTACTCCAAGTGTTACAACCCTACCTATCAGTTTTTACTACAGAAAGATTTAAAGTACTATGATTATGGTACTTCCAGCCATAAATTCGCTGCATGTTTGACGTCGCTGCGCTCATTATCGGTTAAAACGGAACATAGTGGATTGTACATGTGTGCTTTGGAAATTATAATTCAATTTGCTTCTACGTATCTGTGTGAGAAAGAGTTTTCATCACCAAATCAAATTTCAAAGGTATTGAAATCAACTTGATGTATGTGCCGATCTTAAACTTCGACTTAAAAACCGATCTTAAACTTCGACTTTGCCGTTTTGTGTTCGGTTGTATGTGCCTAACACAGATCAGTTGGTACTTGCGTATTAACGCATCTACCTAAGTACACAAGTCGCCAGATTTTCAGTATGTGCCAAACTCTGGCAGCCATCCGCATAACAATTCTTTTAGTAAAACAACGCGGCCATTTTCTTATGCGTTCTTTTTTGTTATGTTCCAGTGGTTATTATAGACAAATCTTGGAATTTTTTGCCTTGAATTTAATTTGAAATATGAGCTTGTGGAATTTACTGCACTAAAATTTCTGCAGGAGTGTGAAATATACCTGAAAATTTGCTACAAGGAATAACGAGGAAATGAGTTTCCTCGACAGCCGCTGTTGCCGAGAGGTTTCTGTTGCCGCTTTTGCCGAGTCTCCCTGCAATGCTCTGATGTTTTTTAAGCGAAAATATATCTCTTGTGTACTTCGGGAGAAGAATAATGCGAAGCAGTTACAGAAAGATTTGAAGTTTTTTTTTTAAAATCATGTAATCCTTACTTATTTAATCAAATTTTATTTTAAGATGCCAAAGTATGTTTTCTTTTTATATGTTGATAAGGTTTACCGACTTAAGATAAAATGGATAGTTTAGGAATCTTTCTGAAAATGGCGCGATTACCAGTTTGCACCCGACAAGTAATTTTTACCATTCCATCTGTAAAAAATCGCCAGTTTGCGCCAAGGTAGCTGTGTTAATGAGTTTCCGTCTTGCCTCTTATGGCTTGGGCTGTATTATTGGCGGGTCAAGAACTCTTAGTGCAGTGAATTCACTTGTCAGATTTCGTTAGTCATATACTTAAACCTTCCTTCCAGAACTGCTTATTGATATTTCATGAAGTATGTGTTTCGTCATGAAGTATTTATTTGGAACTTCCTTGTTAAAGTGGCTACCATATAAACCTTGGATGATCCTTGAAAATCTGCACACATAGATCCAATTCTCATTTACAGGTTTGACCAATTTTGATGATGATCACAATGGCCGCTTTAACAAAGGGATGCCATCATTTTTAGTTATATTTGACTAAGACATTTTGTCTTCTAGGGTGAAAGATCTCCACCTGGATCACCATGGCCAATGCCGAAATCATGGCACCGCTCGGATCATCAGCTAACCATCGATCCACAGTCATTTTACATTTCATCTGGGGCATCGGATTGTGATGTTATAGATGAAGCTCTGCGACGTTACAAGAAAATCGCTGTCATTGATTTGAAAGGTCATAAGCAAGCAGGACTTCCAGAATTACAAGGCCTTCATGTGAACGTTGCCAGCGGTTACGAATGCGGTTACCCTAAGCATGGAGACGACGAATCCTGTAAGCAGGAATTTTTTTTTAAATTCTAGATATTGGTATTAGTAATTTTAGTGGATGTAGTAGCATGGCATCAATTAAATATTCCAGTCTAATCAGTTTGAACGTAATGGGAATGAGGGTAAGATTTGAGAATGGAACGATGTTATGATTAAATAAATATTAAAAGTGTACTGTTGTTGTTATTCATCCTCCTGATAGACCACGAATTCTTCATGGCCTAGAGGAAGAAGCAGCTCATGTCGTTGTCCGAGGCTTTGATTACCTAATAGGTGACCATCCACTTTTATCCAGATCCGTCCCGAAGAACAGCTAAGACGCGGACCTGTGGATTTTCTTTGCCAGCCTCATTAATTCAAGCTCACTGAGTTGGCCTCACTAGTGACTGAGCATAGCAAATTTACCCGTGAAGCCTATGGGCAAAACCTCATCTATTAGTATGCTTGTATCAATAGTGTGTAATGAAGTATATTTATGTATACTTAATACATGTTAATTAATGTTATATGTGTTATGTAATGTGCATATAGTTTTGTCATGTAAGCAGCAGAACCTGTGTCATCAACTGTATATCCTGTGCTTACCAACAGCACTTCTGCAGACTTTGCTTAGCAGTGTAAACGTAATTGCAATTTTTCAGCTATCTCCTGATAGGGCATCTGGGCATCTTTAGGCCACTAAAGGAGGAGTTTCCTTTAATGTGAAGAACGAGAGACATATATACCCGCTTCCCACTAGTAGCACCAAGTTTCCCTGCTCTTTCACCTACCTTCTGTAATGAACCCTATACAGTATTCCATACCTCTAGATGGCAACCAGACTCATTGAGGTACTGAGCCTGGGCAAGCATAACAGCAGTGTGTTTCTACATTGTGACTCGGTGAGAGAGATTAGAAGCTCCGCTAACGAACTAAAGTGTAGAGATTTTTTTGTCTGCCCAGGAATTTGGAATTGGTTTTATTATCTATTTCATATTTTGTAACACTTCAACAAATTTTTGATTAACAGACTCAAGGATCTCAAAGCGAGTAATGAAAACACTATAGGAACATTTTTATCTCCAGCGCGTGAGACTGTATCTCAAATTCTAAAGATATTCTCTTTTCAAATATTTTGTGATTTGATCTGTGGAAATGAATTTCATGGTTTAAGTGCCAAGAACATCATAGTTAAAGGTAACACACAAAATATTAAATAACGCTCATTTAGACGTCATATAAAATCTGAAAGCTTTCAGATCCCCCCCAAGATACGTTTAATGACAATTACGTTTAAATTTTGTATACGACCCAGTTTCCCTTAAAAAGTCCTCCACGAAGGCATCCCATCCTTTAGGCAGATAGCCCCTCGAGGCTTTGCCATAATCACACACACAGAGACACACCTCGTCTTCTTTTCTGCCGCATTGTTTTGTACGACGATGTTTTCTTTGCGCTCTTTACACCACATTTCAGTCTGTAACCCATTGTTATGCTCATTGAATTTCACCTACTCAACATATGACCGATATTATCTTGAAACAGCTCGTCATTCTCTGAGAACAATAAGCTTATGGATTGGACAGATGATCACCTAAATGTGACTGTGATTGTTTCTAAATAATGAATAATTCTCAAAACATATTTGATACTCATAAACGCACATTTTGAAAGAAGTTTTGATACTTGAATATTATCCCGTCGATCATCGATGGAAATTTCGGTAACGTCGCCATTTGCTAATCGTTACAACGGAATTCTGAAAGAAGAGGTCATCCATAATTGGCGCCAAGTCGTGCTACTTGGCCGGTCTACGGGATAGTACGTAAGTTGCAAAGTTTTTTTAGAAGAATATTAAAACTTTTCACATTCTGATCAAAGACAAATATTCTAATAAAGAAAACATAATAATTTTGTTCTAAACATATTTTAACTAAAGAAATTTTAATGCCATCTATCTTTCATTCTATTCTTGCACCAAAATGTCAAATTCATATGATAGTATACGAAACTGCGATAAAAGAATATAAAAATGGTTTTAAAAGTCCATTTTCAGTTTCCTTGTTCTCATATTTTAATAACTTAGATTCTGAGGAAGATGGAACTATTCTTATTATAATTAATGAAGGAAATCGTGTGAATGAAAGCTCCTGAATGAGACAACAAAATGATAAATCACATTTTATTCTCTATACACACGTATAATACGAAAAGGCTTTAAGAAAATTTAACCCTAAGAGCAAGTGAATTAAAATATAATTATTATTTTAATCTCTAAAATCAAAAGGTTTTCAGCATCATGCTGCAAATCAGTCATATTTTTACCTAAAAAGACATATCTGTCAAACCATATAACAATAAGCGTAGATATTTTGTTTAAGCATATGCATTTCCAAAAAAATTTGTAACTTAAAAGCATTTTAGTAATTTCTGATTTTAATAGTCTGTACCGCCATTAAAAGAATCGATGGCAAAAGGAAAACTCATGAATGTCAAATTGCGAACTTTTAAAATCAATATTCATTACACTGTTAGACACACAACATATCTTTATATATATATAAGCGGCTAAACTGTGTGTCGCCGATAGTTTATTGTTGCCACTTAGAAAAATGAGCGCGCAAATTAACGTTTCCGCAGTTTTTAATTAATATCTCGGCCGATTAAAGTCGTACGAATGAGAACGGTATCGATGGATTGGAGAATTTTTTGGAATCCGAGGATACGCGTCTCGAATTTCAACTCGGCTTCGTTCCGTAGATATTCGAGAAAAAAAGAATTTGGCAAGTAGCCGAATCACTCTAATAGGTAAAACCAACGAAAGAAAATGAAAAATGTAGGGAAAACGTAGGGGAAATTAGTTTTTATTTACTATCTCGGCTAATTAAAGTCTCACGACGACGCGAATGGTCCATCTGCGGAATCCAACGGTGTGCTTCGCTAAGCCCGGGAGCCAGTCCTTTCGGAGGAGATGATGTTACTTCACCCCATATATATATGCGCCTTAAGTTTCTGTTTGTCGCCGATAGTTTATTGGTTGCTTGCGTAATTGTACTAGCCAATGGGGTGAAGTTGCCACGGCGCTGGGTTCCTGTTTCAATTGAGACGTAGACAATTTCCTGTAAAACCTGCCTTTGCTATGACCATCAATAAGTCTCAGGGACAAACGTTTAAGCGTGTTGGCATTTGTTTACCTGAGCCTGCATTTGGACACGGTCAACTTTATGTAGCCTGTTCAAGCGTTCGTGAAAGAACGGACAAAAAATTAAAAATAATTGATGGTACTCTGCAAGGCGAGCTTAAAATGATGGAAAGATCTACATAATAAATATTGTGTACAAAGAGATCTTTGACATGTGAATTAACATTTTATTATTTAAATCACCTTTATTTATTGAGCTAGCGGTGGCTCTTAAGAAATGTACCGTCAGTGGTTTCCTTCATTACACTCTACTTTAAGCAATTAAGCAAGTGGAAAGGGCAAACCCCGTGGGGCAGTAAGCAAAGGGGCATCCTTGCCGCCTGCCCTGAGTAAATCAGTTTGAATTAGCTGACACCTTTGCACAAATCATTTTAATTGCAATTCACAATATCTAGAACAGCGGTCATTTCGTATGACCGCCGGGCTTTCTAGTCTTATATATCCTCTATATTTTTCGTATCATTTTCCTTTAATACTGTATTTCTTCGCGTATTTTTCTTCCCTAGCTTTTTAGGACTAGGTTCTGAAAATTTTAAAAATATTCGGATAATTCTGCCGTTCAATTATCAGGTATAGCTTTTCTCTTTGAGGACTAGTTAATTTCTAAACTGTATTCCTTTGGTTAATTTATTTTTATTCAGTGTATTCAATTTATATTTGCATTTTTGCATTTATTCATTTCATCCATTTTATTTTCCCTTGCATTTATTACTAGTTAAATGCAAGGGATTAATGGCGTTGAATGCCAACAAAATATATAAAAGCAAGAAAGATATTAAAGCACTACTTTATAAACTGGTTTTTCTTATCTATTTGTAAAGTAACACATTATAAACTCTTTTTTTTATCTGTTCATAAAGTAATAATTTATAGACTCCTTTTTTCCGATTTGCTCATAAAGTAGTAATTGATAAACACATTTTTCTGATCTACTTACACAGTCTTTTCTAAAGAAGTAAAAAGACATACAAAAACCTCCAACAAATATCTATTAAATTTCATTTCCTGAGTACCGACTGATATTAACAGTCTTTTTTTTTTTTCTCCCCCAGATAAACTCGACGTACCTGCATCTGGAGTAGCAGACCTACACGCGAATACCGTATGGGGAGCTTTGAGAGGTAATATTTGTTTAAATTAGTTTCTTTTATACTAAAGACTACTTTGTTTAATTATTTATTTATTTATTTTATATCGCCGGTGTTACTTCGCTATTTCATAAGCGTTCGAATATAGCAATGATTGAATATACACATAAAAAATTTTAGTTCTAAGAATTTTTTTATTTTGAAGGCAACATATTAATATGATTTGAAATTTTGTAGAAAGCCAATAAATTTGTAAAAAGACATTAATTTAAGAGTTTAATATGCTTTCATGGTTCAACATCCTGATTCGCCGGTTCGTATCACGTGACCCCAAGTGATCTCATCTCACGTAAACTACGCTACAAAAATCTAATTCTCTCAGTTATTATCTACATTAATTTCAAGTTAAATCTCAAGTTGGAATACAAGTTTAAATGCAAGAATTATTTCAATTCGTACGAATAACTTATTCAGACTTTATGTAAAACCGCAGTGCTTTACTTCGCTAGTGCATTCTCATTAAAATTGATGAATTTAACCCTTAATTTTGCCTTTTCTATATTTTTGTCTTCGGGTGACGGTGTGATGACATCCTAATTGACTTAATTGCCGCATATGGTCTTAGGGTATAAAATTGAACTATCTGGTAAAAATTCTATGTAATTTTATTCCAGTATTGAAAGAAACAATCAATCTGATAAGAAATGGCTGCGACTTGTTTTGAAAATGAAGCGTAAAAGGTTACCAGCGAAGATATTCCGTTTGGCATCAGTTGTACCATTATTGGCGACTTTATCGTTTGCGCTGGCAAAACAGAAAAGTACCGATTAAGCTTCTTGAAATAATGGTTATAAACAATCATGTGATTTTAATAATTGTAAAAAACTGACACTTATAATATGATGCTTGGATTTAGTTTTCACTACCATTCTTGAAAATTTAGTTTCAAACTATCGGCTTGTCAAGAAAGTAATTTCGGTTTTCCATTGGGAAATAAAAACCAACTTTTTTATACAAAAAATAAATTTTAATCACTCAGATATCTCCTATTCTGTTCGATGATCTACTGCCAACTGTCTGGTACCTTCATGATACCGCGCTCTCAGAACTTCTGGTCTTTATCAACAAAAGCTCAACCAAGCGCGATTTGAAGTCATCGTTAGTACTGAAATTTTTTATTATTTCATTTTATTTTAGTATTTATTTATTTTTACTATTTTACTATTTTATTTTGTACCATTTAAGAAGAAGTTTTGTAAGCTTCGAAATAAGTGAATCCGATGGTGCATGGTCGGGGCTGTATAGGGGATGCCAAATCACTTCCCGAACAAGTTCCAATAATTTTGTATGTGTTCGCTAAAGATGTGTTGTCATGGTGGAACACAATTCTTGTGCGATTTGCCGGCGATTTGCCGATTCTGGCCTTTTTCTCTTTTATTGTTTTGTCCAGTTTCGCAAGTTGTGACTAGTAAACATCTGAGTTGATGGTATGGTTGCTTGGAAACAACCCAAAATACACAACACCTTTGTAATCCACCAAACTGAGAGCATGATCATTTTCTGATGCAGTTTAGCTTTTTGTATGATTTGTGCTGATTAATCATTTTTGGACCGTAATCTTTTTCGATTAATGTTATTTTAGACGATCCATTTTTCGTCATTAGTGATAATTCGTTTCAGAGAAGAGTCGATTGAATTACGTGTGAAATGCGTATCGAAAATATTGACTTTTAGTGAGAAAGGAATTTCATTCAATTATAACGAGTGCAAGACATCTGGGATTTTTCAATGGTTGTGTGGGAAACATAAACCTTTTGCAGACTCTCAGTAAGTATATGACGATTCGATTCAATTAAGGCTTTAATTTTTTCATCACCAACTCTAGAAAATCTTACAGAACGTCGATCATCTTTAAGTAAAAAACCTCCAGAACGAACTTTTTAAACCAATTCTGACACATGGGTTCTGTTAAGCAATCAACACCATAAACTTCACGTATGTCTTTGTAAGCCTCAGCCACTTTCTTGCCTTCATGGGAAAAAAAGTAAAATATGTCGAAAATGTTTATTTTTGCACCCCATATTAAAATTATAAACTAATAGTTGTAAACAAAAATACACGGAATTTGTTTCAAAACCAACCTTCTGTTACCGGTACTGGATTCAGAAATATATGTATGTATGTGAGTATATGTGCGTATGCGTACAAACACATACGTACGTACATATATACATGCATACATACATTGATTTCTGAATCCTGTCCCGATAACAGAAAAGAAGTGTCGCCTGCCAAATCTCAATAGAAAAAACAGCTATTATATTGACAGAAAAATAACAAAACGGACATAACGCTATCTAATTGGGCAAATCTAGAAAACTTTCTTGCTAACCCAATACTTTCTGTAAAGAAATTAACAAAAAATATATTTCTACGCAGTATTAGACTATAAATATCCTTTGGTTTCGCTATGTGACAAATGTAATAGTGAGCATCTCGTCACGTTTCTAGTGAGCGTCTCAAGACGATATTTTCGAAAATATTATTAAAATTTCAGAGGTTTAATTTAATAATTATTAATTTGCTCTTTCTTAATAAGTCAAAATAAATTAGCTTAGCAATGATTGGTGATGTCAAGTGCTAGAAAGGAGCATACTAAAAAATTATTATTTTCTTCCTAAATACTTCTGAACTAAGATATTCCAAAAAAATTAATTTTCTGCATTAAATCAAAATTGTGAGTTTTAATCAAAGCAATAAACGTATTTGAACTGCCTAAAAATCGCTCTGTTATAGGTCGACCTCGTCAAACGCAACCTTGGCTGGCATTCTGCCAAAACATATAGGATCTTCCAGAAGGGGTGTTAGTTACGTGCCTGAGGTTGAGGAGGTCACATTGAGAGTTCGCTCTTCTCCGGAAAGAAGGAATTTAATATAGAAGGAGGAAAAGTCTGGTGTCAGTTTTTCTTTCGCATCGTTATTTCATATTCGCAGAAAATAAGGGCGAAGTTTCGCACTGATGTGTAGCGCTGAAAACCGAAAATATTGAAATAATGCAACTATTTAGTTTATTTATTTAGTTTATTTAAGACGTAGTCCAGCCCACCTGACGAGCTATATAATAGAACTACATCTTTTAGCGGAAATATTCTTTGTGTAATTTTAAAAAAAATAAAAAAAAAAGAAATGAAGGTCAATAGTTATCTATTCCATTTCAGCGGTGTCTCCCCTACTCGTAAGTGATTTAGCTTGACATTTGCCAAAATTGTGATCTTCTAATCAAGAATAACATTTTTTTCCTAAAATTATTTTCCTTTTTTCCTAAAATCCAGACATTATGTGTATAGAATAACAGTGCTTTTTCTCAACATTTTCTTTCTATAGGGTGTGTCATCTAACTTTTGGAATTTAAACCCGCTATAAAAAAAAAATAAATAAATAAATAAAAATGAATATTTTTTTCAAAATTATGAGCTTATAGATTGGACATTTTGATTTAAGAATGAAACACAGCATCATTCAAATGACTGCCACGGCTGGCTTGGCAGTACCCCATCCGACCAGCCCAACTTTTCGGTACATTTCCGATTGTTTGTGTTCCAATCTCATGAATGGCAACTTCTATTTCGTATTTCAAGACATCAGTCGTCTTTGAGTGGTTAGCGTAACACTAATTCTTAAGGGTTTCCCCCCAAAAAAAGTCCAACGGGGTCAAAGTGGCTTTCGGTCCGGCGGCATCATTGGGCAATTTTTCTTCGAAACGATCAAGAAGGCGCCGTTACTGTCATTATCGAACGTTATCGTGCCATGCTAAACGAATTTTTCTTTCCAAAAATTGAAGAGGATGACATGGGTGACATTTGGCTTCAACAGGACGAGGCAACTTACCACACAGCTAACGTAACCATCGATCGTTTGCGCACTGTTTTTGGAAATCGAATAATCAGACGAAATGCTGATATTAATTGGCCGTCTCGGAGCTGTGTTTTGTCCCCGTTGGATTTTTTTTTTTTTTTTTTTTTTTTTTTTGGAGGGGGAGCCCTTAAGGATAAGTGTTATGCTAACCACCCGGAGACGCTTGAGGCCTTGAAACAAGAAATCGAAGTTACCATTCATGAGACTGGACCCCAAACAATCGAAAATGTACTGAAAAATTGGGTTGATCAAATGGGGGTAATGTCAAGCCAGCTGTGGCAGACATTTGAATGATGTGTTTCCTTCTTAAATGAAAATGTTCAATCTTTCTAATAATTAAAAAAAATATTCATTTGTAGGGTTTATATTTATTTTAACTAACATTTATTTTAAGTTTAAACTATCTTTCCTGTTAAGCCTTACTTTGCCCTGGAATTGCCAATGCCAGAGTATGTAAATTTTTAGTAGAACGCGCAAAGTATTCAAATTTTAAACAGAAGTAATTTGAGTTAAATAGAAGGGAAACGAGTTCGTAAGTGTGCTTTCTTGCTTCACGAGCGTGAGGGTGGCTAGGTAGAAATTGAAGAACCGCGCGTTTCGGCCTGTGTGCTTGCCTCGACAGATAGTTGAATCTTTCAACTTAATATTCAGAAAAGTTTGCTGAAATATCAGCTGTATCTTAGAACGCGGTTAGGTTAGTTACGTTTAGAGAGCCTCGTAGGTAGTAACTTGTTATTATTCATTTTTTTTAGTTTCTTATTTTTATTTTACCGCCGGGTCGGCGTAGTTTGTGAGCGTCAAGTGCACGCATCTGTAACTTCTAAAAGTAGAATAAAAAGGGAGTTAAACCCCTTCCTAAGAGTTTTGTGTACTTTCCAGTTCATAGCAGTCACTACTATTGTTGCGTGTAGGTTGGGGCCGCGCAATATCACACATTAACCGATACAAATTCCAAAAGTTAGATGGCTCACTCTTTATTTGATGCTCAATTTTTAATACACTCTGTACAAAAGGGTTCAGCGCTCCCAAATTTTGAGCGATGTTTATTGTGTAGTAAATCTTTATTAAATCAGTCTTAAAATGTCAGATAAACAAAACAGTATATATCTTTAATACGAGTATTTGAAAATTTTAACTGTATGAATATGCCCACATATGTACTTGAAACATTTTCAGTGTTTTGTAGTATTTTGTGTTTCTAATCTAAGCAATAACCTCTAAACTTCTATAGAACATTTCTTCTTATTTATTAATAATTATTTTTGCAGGTCTGGAAACCTTTAGCCAGTTAGTGTATCAAGACAAACGCGGCATTGTAAGAACACTTTACTTTTTTTCTTTATTATTTAGTGATACTTCGAAACTTAAAAAGAGGTTTAACACAATATCTAAAATTGATCAAAATTAAAATAAGAATTCCTAGTACAAAATCTAAAACTAAAAATGAAAACGAAAAAGGGAAAAATATATAAGCCAATAAAAATATAGAAATATAAATTAATCTTCCTTTACCTGAAAGTCCAATTCAGAACTCATCAGGGAAAAATAAATTAAAGCATCACATAAGTCTTTCGAAAGAATAGATATACTGCTTTATAGGTGACTAATAAACAAAAAGCAGTAACTAGAGTTGTAACAGGGTGTGTTGCTGCTTAAATAAAATAATTCTTATCTAAGTTACGTCTGGGAAACCATCTGCGTTACTCAAGGATTTCGAGTGTCATTGGCTACGTGTGTTCAACATATGTATGCAGTTGTCACCTTCTGTAAGGATTTTATTTGAGATACAATAAGCACCGCTTAATATGATCATGTTTATCCGCGACTATTTTGATAACTTTAACTGAATGATGAAATTGAACGATGAGAAAAAATATCTTTCAAAACAGCAGCAGAATTTAACAAATTTAATGTAACAATAACAAGAAACCTATAAACAGGTACTTTCAAATGAGTTTTCATTAGGTGTGGTGTATTTAATTATTGCAAAGCACACTAGGGCTATCTGCCTAAGAGGAGGGATGCCTTCGTGGAGGACTTTCTAAGGGAAACTGGCTCGTATACACGTTACACACGGGAAAAACCACGAAAACGCCCATGCAGCCAGCCCGTTCGCGGGATTCGAACCTCGGACCGAACTACCAGTGTTCAGCGACTTTACCGCTCGGCCGCTGGTGGGCTGAGTTTTCATTAGAAAAATACAAAAGTTTATGAGCGGTTCGTAACGTTTCTAGAAATTATTTAACAAGAGCTGTACCTTTAATCTTAATATTCGGACGGCATCCCTCATTCAAAGAAAACTTGTCAATGTAAAATATAAAATTAGGAAAAAAAGACGCCTTACTTTGGCATAGATGTTTTCAAAGAATATTTTTTGCTCCTGAAGAAGATGGACTAGTGTTACTAAAAATTTACGTCAAATTCTTCTTTCTTTACCTAATTGTAAAAGCTTGACTGAAATCGAAACCAAGCTATTTGATTATTTGGCGATTTAATCCTTCACTTGGCGACATTGCTCTGTCACTCTGCAATTTTTCTTGTTCAATTCAGCATAACTGTCAAATCTATTTTGATCTCTTTAGAAATTTATCTTTTATTTGGACTGAGGAAAGTAGTAGAAGTAGCTAACTTCTCTACATATACGAGAGCTAGTTTATGAAGCGTATTAATTCCATATGTCTGACAATTAAATATTCGGAACTGAGTCCTGCTACTATAAACACGGATTACTTCAAGGTAGTAGTCATATTTGAGAAAATGAGTAGTCTGTTTAAAAAATTAGGGTGTCCGAAAAGTCTTTCCCTGATTACATAAATTGATAACTCAAGCTAGAAGTAAGATACAAATATGAAACTGGTGTCTAATTGTTTACAAACTATTAAATTTTTTTCACACATCAGTAAACTTCCACATGAGCACCCTTGGTAGCACGCAGCACATCTAGGCGATATTCAGTTTCCGTCCACACATTAGCCAACATCACTGGAGGAATCGATTCAACGACTGTGGTTATCCGTTGCCGCAGGGTTTCAAGATCTGGTGCACGTGTTCGGTAGAAATACCCTCATATGCGGTCAGGTCGTAAATTTAGAACCCCATTTTTCACAGGGGGGCTGAAAAGTAGGGAATAATCTTGCTCGTGGTCTTGGGGGTCGTTTAAACATCTAACTTCTCTACATTCAGTTTTATACAGAGGAAAATACAAATTGAATTCTTCGAATGAATGCAATTTTGTACAATGAAAATGTATTACTTAATGATAAACTGTAAGATAAATAACATCTTTTTTAAAGCCATAGGTGTAGAAAGACAGATATTTGTTACACGAATGAATTTGTAGTAAATATTGAGTGTTTTCATTTTCGAATGCTATGTTCCATGTATGCGAAGTAGCTGAGTATGTGAGATAATAGTCATAACCGAAATGGCTTTCAACCTTTTCACGGCTAAAGGACTGTTTTCTTCAAATACATTGTGGTCGCTGCTTTTTGGTTAATTTTCTAATGACATATAAACAATAGTAAATTGTTTTTAATTTGAGACTTGTGAATAAAATAACGCAAACTAGACTGCAGAAAATTCTTCAGAATAAAATAACACGAACTGAAAAATAGTTAGTTAATACTGAAAAAGTTAATACTGAATTAATATTGAAGTTAATACTGAAAAATACATATTGATGCACTTTTGTGTTTTATATGTAGTTAGTATTAACTACTACTATAATCCTTAAATGGAATCCTTAAACTATATATATCTATGTATAGGTATATAAATGGAACCAAATATAGAACAAGGTATAAAATATCTTTATTATACAATGTTCATTACCATACGTATATTTACGTAATATCAATATAAATAGTTAGTTAGGTTTCGTACATATATAATTTATTTTTATATTTTGTATTTTTTTATTAGATTCAGGTATTGTATACGTATCTGAAGTTTAATTTGTTCTCTTTTTCGGTTACGACTTTAAGTGAGAAAGAATTGTTAGGGCCTTCATAGGGATTACATTATATACAATCAGTTAGGATCCGACTTTTCCTTTCTTTTAATCATTATATATATTGAAAATACTACTTGATAAGTATACGTAAAAAATAGCAGTTTTTTAAGCTACTTATTTATATATCTATTGTTTGGTCTGGTTTTTTGATTATAGCAAAGCATTCGACGGTTATTTGCCTAAGGGTAAGGGTGCCTCGTGGAGAACTTTCTAAGCAAAACTGACTCTTATGCACGTTACACGTGGGGAAAACCTCGAAAACGCCAATACAGCCATCCCCTTCGATCCGGATTCGAACCCCGGATCGACCTGCCAGAGTTCAACGATTTTACAGCTCAGCCGCTAGTGAGCCACACACACACACACACACACACACACACACCACACATATACATTAAATAGTATTTACATGTCGTTTATAAAGTATAATTGAGTGCAATTTAATCATAAAGAGAAAATATTTTCTACGGAATTACTTCACTTCGTAGACTTTTTGCTAAGCTTCACCATATTTCTTAAAGAGAATCGCAACGCTGATTCCATTTCCTAGCCCTTTATGTATCTTATTTTTTTTTTCTACACTGAATTATATTTAGAAAATTATTTCACTTGGTTATAGCTGAAAATGCAGTTTTTTTATTGAAGAATTTAAGGGTAAGAAGAGAATTATGCCCTTTTCTAATTATTCTTGAAGCATTTAATTTTTTTAAAAAAAAGCGCACGTTAATACGGATCACTGAACTAAAGTGCTCGATACAAGACAGATTAATTAGCTACTAAATTTTGATTTTCGTTGGGTAAAAATGAATTCATCTGCATTCTATAAGAAAGTAAATATTCAAGATATGTTTTTTTTTTTTTTTTTTTTTTTTCGATTCTCGCAGTCATAATATTTTTCTTAAGTATTCAGCTAATTCATATTCAAATATTCCAATCCATTACAATAAGTAATAAATCGATACAGTAAATAAATAATTAAAATCAATTAAATGGAATTTTAATTGATTTTAATTGCCATTTTCCCTCTGATAAACCCCTCTTTAGAGTTCAATAGCAGTCGATCAGCTTTTGTCAGGGTTCATTTTTCTTTATGGTATGCTTACGTGATATATGTATGTATTATGCATTGCTCATACTCGTCAATTGCAGCTTTTAATATTTCTTGGAAAAAAATCAATATGAGAATCCAGAAAATGATTCTTAGCGACGCTAAAACTATTATTACTAGGCACTCTCATCCCACAGTGTTTAAAAAAATTCCCATTGTTTATAGGTAGATTCTATGCTCATATTTTAGTCTAAAATTAAAAGCTGCGAGTCAAAATTAAGGGGGTTGCTCTTAGAAAGCCTCAATTAGAAGTAGTTATAGAAAATGTTAATCAATTCAGAAGTCAAACAACAAAAATCAGCGTTATATTTACAAAATTTTCACAGGACTAGTTTCGATGGTTTTACCGAACACACCATCTTCAGCTGCAAAACCAAAAAAAAAAAAAAAAAACTTATAATTATAATAACTTATAATATAATTACACTGTTAATCAATGCTTATAATCTTACGGATTAAACACTTATTCCTTATTTGATCACGTGTATGGCAAACAGATATTCGTCATTCATAAAGAAAAGAAAGGTGAATCAAAATGAATTATATTCTTGTTTTTCCAACTGCAAAAACATCTTAAGATACTATCGGATTTAATCTTTAAATTATTCCAGTAATAATCAGAACAATGGGGGCCATTATTCTTAACTATAATTTACTAATGCAAATCCTATTTTGGTTTCAAATGGCTTTCATTAATTACGTTAATGATATACTGATATACTGATACTGAATGAGACCTAAAAACATTTTTTTTTAAATATATCTCCCCTTATGATCCTCGACACAGCCGTTTACTTTCCCCTTCCGTAATTAACGTCAGTCTCCTGCTGTTGGCCGCATTTGCCAAGACACCGTTCGGTAGACCTAGTCCTTGACATAACCCCATAAAAAAGAAGTCTAATGGGGTTATGTCAGGAGAGCGTGGAAGCCAAACCGTTGGCCCATCACGACCAATCCATTGCCCAGGAAAGGTCATATCGAGATAGGCACGGACGTCCAAACCCCAATGAGGCGGTGCACCGTCTTGCTAAAACAAGACATCGGGGTGATACTGAAGCAGCTGAGGAACAGCATATAGTTGCAACATGTCCAGATACACTGCAGATGTGATGGTAGCCTCAGAGAAGCTTTTTGGTATCTGTAATTCACGTGAGGCCCTGCGCACCGATTTCTTCGGACTTCGCAGAAAAGACTG